TTTTTTTTTTTTTTTTTTTTTTTTACCTTTTAACCTATGTCCTCTACCTGAACCCATACTAGGTTCAACCCACCAGATAGTAGACTTTAGGATCTGTTGTCCCCGTTCTCTTCTCCGCATTGTGAATTCATGCCGAATTGGAGTGGCCATGGCAATGGCAGGCCTGGGTAGGCCACGCCACCTCCATAGGTAGGGTTGCCACAGTGGGTACCTTTGTCTGCACTCCAGCACCCCAAGTCCATGAACACGAGACTGGCCTCACCCCGCTGGATCACAGTGGGCACGGCTGGCTTCCACAGGGCTTGACATCCTCAGGTTTCAGGGCCTCGTTGCAGGTGGCGGAGGCCTGGCCGTGGGGGTCCCGACACTCCACAGTCCGCCGCTGCCGGCCAGCTCCACAGCTGCTGGAGCATTCAGACCAGTCCCCTAGCACCCACTGCGCGTTGAGCAGGGGCTGAATGATGTTGGTGGTTGCTCTCTCTTTACTGTTCTGTATGCTGAAGTTCACGTCATTGGGAACAAAGAAGGTATATTTGACTTTGGGGGGAAAGACCTCACCAGGGACAGTCAGGAGCTGCACGGTCAGAGGCTCAGGCAGGGGCCGGAAGCTCTGCAGCCGTTCCAGGGTGGCAATGGAACCACTATATTTAAGGATGGTCCCCTTCACCAAGATGTCCTGTTCTATGGCAGAGATGGCCAGGTTTCCATTGAGCAGGTACTGCCCATCGGCAGTCTTCAATGCCAGGTAGTTGCCATCGTTCTGGACCCCTGGATGGCTCCGTTGTTTCACATCAATGTTAGTGGCACCAGCTGGGATGGTGACAATGTCATTATAGCCGTAACTATGATAGGAACAGAAAGACACCCTTAGGACCAGTGGCTACCCAGCCCAGTGCCTCAGGAAGTTAGCACGCTGGTGACCAGGGTGGACAGACACAAACCACCAGCAAATCATCCAAGTAATTGCCCCAAAGTTCCTGATAAATTAGCTGCTGAGGCCAATAGGAATGTTCTGTGCATTGGGATATTCAAGCGTTTTTGCTTTGCCTGGTAACTCTGTTTCAAATGCTTGGAGTTTAGATGTGTGGATCTGGACATCAGCACAGAGGAAGATATCCCAGAAGGGTTTGCAAAGCTGCATCAGTGCTGCCAAACCTGGCCGCTCTTGGCTCAAGTGAGATCTCGAAACACTTTTAGCTCCTTGCATTGGTATATAACTTTGCTTGGCAACTTTCATACTCAAAGCTCAAACCCATGTGGAAAAATCTGTTCCACACACCCGTTCCAGAATCCAACCAGGGTGGACATCTCACTCTACCTCTTAGAGCCAATCAGTCCCTAGTATTTGGTTAAAAGGGCCCCAGGGCAGGAGCCAGAGTGATAAATGCTGCTTCTAGTTGCCTTCCTCCGGTGTGTCCAGGCAGCATGAGCTGTGTGCTTCTGAGAAGATAGGGAATGTGTTTCTTTCTTTCTCTTTCTCTTTCTCTTTCTCTCTCTCTCTCTCTCTTCCTCTTTCTCTTTCTTTCTTTCTTTCTTTCTTTCTTCTTTCAAGTTTATTTTGAGAGAGAGAGAGAGAGAGAGAGAGAGCAAGCATGAGTGTGTGAGGGTAAGGGGCAAGAAGAGAATGAGAGAAAGAGATTCCCAGGAAGGCTTTGCACTGGCAGCATGAAGCCTGACATGGGGCTCAAACTCACAAACCATGAGATCATGACCTGAGCCAAAATCAAGGGTTAGATGCTTAACCAACTGAGCCACCCAGGCACCCCGGGGAACATGTTTCAACTCTACTGTAGGTCTAGGGCTTTATGTGGGTTGGAAAAACCTTAGTTTTTAGTCTTCTCTTCTGGGGCAAAAGTGCTCGTGTTACATAGGCTGGGAAGAAAGCAAAGAAGGTTGAGGACAGGCGGTCAGTTCTGTGCTACTCTTGCCTTTCTATCCACTCAGGCTAGCCACTTAGTTTAGGGCAGCTCTGAAAGAATCCACAGCCCCATATGTCTAATGCCTAAGAGAAAACCAGCTAACGGACCCAGTATCTGAATATCTCACACCACATGCTTCTTTTTTCTATATCCTTTGAGTTTAAATTTGAAGACTGCCAAGTTGTCTGCTGTAGGCTGGTTTTGTTCTCTGAGCCCGATAAGGTGAGAGATAGTGAGAGACAGACAGGGGCACAGTGTGGCCGTGTAACATATGCCCTTGCCATTCCTCTCCGGGAATTGTATGCCACGGCAGGAAAAAAATAGCGCAGGATTAAGACACCTGGGTTCTCTTCCCAGCTGTCATTAACTATCAGTGTGACCTTAGGAGCATCATGTGATCTTTTCATGCCTTAGTTTCTTTATCTGTAAATGGGGAATAATAGTATTGGCCATCTGATCTTATTTTAGGAATCAAATGAGGCTACAGGGATAAAAGCACTTAAATACTAGTTTTATGAACTTATGGCTTTAAGACGTGACAAAGCATCCAGAGTTGTCAGATTCATGAAAGCCCTAAGGCCACCAAGACCCGCCCCCTCTTTGTACTCCTTTCTGAAAGATCCACCTGAAGAAAGGGTGGGACTCACCAGGTGTAGGGTGAGATGTCCTTCCCAAAACAGGCCTGGGAGAGCTGCTTTCTGGCCAAGGCCCTGGTTAGTCAGCATAGCTGTATTGCTGGTTGACTCAGAGCTGATACACCCCTATCCTCGGGGCCTCTGGCTGCCCTGTGCACCGTCCTCTCTATGGGTCAGACACTATGCCAAGGGTTCCGCCCATCTCATGACTTGTTATAATGATTCTGAGATAGGGGGGCCTCCCAATGCTTTACAGAGAAACTACAGCTCAGTGCTGCGTGGGTATTAACTGGCCGCTACAGTCCACACTTAGGCCGATGTGATTCTAAAGCCTGTCCAGCTCTTCTAGAACCCAGGCACAGGACTGTGGGTGATACTCACCTGGAGGGGTTGAGGGAACCAGACACCTTCCTGCAGGAATTGCCTTTGCCCCCACACACACCACATTTGTCCAACTTCCTAGGTGAGTCCACTACATGGTCACAGCCAGCCTTGACGCACTGGCCACGGACACAGATGGCCAGAGTCTCAGGCCCACAAAGGGTGCCATCGATCACCTGCAGTGGGGAGAGGGAGTGCAACAGAGGGCATGGTGTGCACAGAAGGAGCCCACAGGTGGAGTCGAACCAGGTGGCCTTGCTCCCCACCCGTAGTTCTGAGCTCCAGCAGGATTCTCACCTTGGCCTCAAACACTTTGAACTCACTCCTTCCCCGGGCTCGGCAGAATAACTTGCAGCGGTCCCGGGGGGACACCCCTGCATACTTGGGGACCCACTGTAGGAGGTTCCCATCCATGTCCGTGTAATTGTAGGCATTGTACTTCTCACACTGCTGCTCTCTGAAGCTTTTCCCTACAAAGAGTAAGAAATTACATGGAGGTAACATGGCTTGCTAGAGCAGGGACGACCCAGCACCAGAAATGCCAGGATTCAGAGCCCCTTTATTCCTCCTGGTTTTGACCCAATCCCAGGACACAGGTCCAGTGTCATCTGGGCTCAACATTCCTAGACTCCCCCAATCTAGGTCCATGTGGCAAGGTAAGGATAAATGTCCTTTCCATTTGGGGAAGATACCAATTTTATCTTATAAATGAATAAACTTAGTAGTTACAGGGGACAACTCAGTAAGCTTGAATGCTCCATGGAGTATATTTTTGGGACCCTGCTAATTGTGCTCTATTTTGACTTCCTTGGTGACATTGGACATGTATCCAAGAACTCTTAGATCTATCTCTGGTTCTGATCTTGCCCCTATTCCTCACCGGCTATAATTCTGGCTGTCTCTGGAGGGACCTCCATTTGTAGTAGTGAGATTACCTCCAGCTCAGCAAAAGCCCAACTCCATGTGGCTTCTCCATTAACTGGTTTAGTTTGCACTTGGGGATACTGCCACATTCTGCTGTGACACTGGAGTCAGGTTTCTGCTGAACATTTGAGCGTCTACATCCACTATTTCCAACCTGTTGTTAAGTCCTACACTCTATTCAGGACAATCTGTGATTTTAAGTGTCTCCTTCCCACTCTCACCATCTGAGTCCACCTCCCACGAGCAGAGGCATTGCGGTTTCATGTGAGACCTAGTTCCCAGCCTCCTCTCCCATCCTGCTACATGCTGCTTCCAGAACAATCTGTCAGGAGTAACATATGTTGTTGTTGTTGTTGTTGTTGTTGTTGTTTTTACCCCACAATCCTGAAATTAAACCTGCTCTTAATACCGAGGTTCTCCACCCTAGTTGTACATCTGCATGGCCTGTGGACACTTTTCATAACACAGATGGCCATGCCCTACTCCTGAGATTCTGACTCAATGCACCTGAGCAGTCTAGGCCTCTGTGTTTCAAAAAGCTTCCCTGATGGACAGCCAGTGCAGAGAATCTCCAGATACCATTTTTAGCTTTCACAAACCTTTGTTGTGTAGCTTTGAAGGGCTAGTATGCTGCTTGACTCCACCTGAGTGAATCCTAGCCCCTCTCAAACCTTTCCCATCTCCTCCCTGGCACACATCCTCCTACACCTCATTCCTATCTCCATTGTACAGGCCCTGCTCAGCCCTAACTCCCTGTGAAGGTTCAGACTAGCTCAGGCTTTTCCTTGCTCCGAATTCTTCATAAGTCTAGGGGTCTAGGCCTCGTAGATTAGGCTTTAATTGCTTTGTAAAAGGCAGGTGGATCTCTAACTAGACCGCAAGTCCTTTGAGGACATGTCTTGTGCATTTTTACAAGGTCATTTATAACACCTATTATAGTTTGAGCCACACAAGAGGCACTAAAAACCACTTGATTGAGAGGATGGACCCTGGTGCATCCTGAGATCATACTATCACCATGTCTACCTTGTGCCTTATAGTCATCCCTTCTCCTTTGTCTCTCCTTCTCTTTACCCCATATGCCAGGCAAATTCTCATGATTCCAGGGCAAAATTTCTAGAGCCTCATGCCATTGTTGATCCCTCATGCCATTGCAAAACTGCAAAGCCTACAGATTCCCTCATTAGACACCAACCCAATGTCAGTGTGTCTTTGCACTTGGATGAATCTCCCTTAAAACTCTGCTTGTCTTTTGCTGCCTGCCAAAATTTCCTGGAGCTGCACAAGGGGGAGTTGGATGGGATGGTGGGGAAAAATGTCTAATGACTCCCTCTCACCAGTTCTGCTGCTACCCCTGCTGCCTCTGAGTTAACATGTGTGCTTTCTAGCGGGAACTAGGGGGTAGGAATATATGCCAACTAGAGGTGGTGCTGCTCCCTGGTAAGGTTCCATTAGGCAGTTGCCATGGCCCCAAGGGAAGATGGGCAACTCTTCTCAGAAGGAATGTGCACTAGAATCAGATTCAGAAACCCTCCCTCCGCCCTAGGCTGAATGTTGGCTGGAAAGACAGTGGAGGTTTGGCTCTGACAGTTGCTTTGGAAAATACTTCTATTCTGCACACAGACGAGGGTTCAGATGCCTCCAGGAGGATTAGTATCCTAGACTCTCGCCTCTCTGCAGAGCTCCCCCCAACCCCCTGAATGAGTTTGGTTGGGAATGACATCCTCTATTTACACATCTTAGAAGACAAGGGAAATTTCTTTCCTTGACTTTGCTATGCTCTCCCAGCCCAAGTGAGAGCTGTCTAGGGGCCAGTAAGCTTTGCCCTAAAATTTGGTGTCTTGCAGAGTCCATTCATATCTGGATCTCAGGAAAGCTCTGCATCCCCAGGAGACCCACCCTACTTCTTGTCTGGGGATTTGCTGCAGTGACAACAGTCGTGGCCATCAGTGGTCATTACCATCAGGGGGGCATTCCTCTGTGTGGCAGGACTGATACTTAGCTCTCCGACCCAGGCAGTATCTTCCTCCATTCTGAGGCTCAGGGTCCTTGCATTCACGATGTGAAAACTGTACTCCTCCTCCACAGGTCCGGGAACATTCTCCCCAGGGTCCCCATGGGGCCCAGCCTCCATCCACTACAGCCTGAAACACACAAGGCCGCACTAAATCAGGAGAAGAGGTGAGGAGGCCTCAGCTGTCAGTGTAACAGGGGCCATGGCCCTGACCTCCTCACCTAGCTATGTTCATAATAATGGTGGGTGTTGTTCAGTAAGCTTCCCTAATCATTTGTTTAATGGCTGTGTGATTTGCTTGGTTATCGTCTTCTTGAACATGGAGGCTGTGTGGGACTTGTTCACTGCTGACTCCCCTGTGTCTAAAACAGTGTCTTGCTGTTAGTAAGGTGCTTGGTATTAGTTGTTGAATGAAGCAACATTTTATGGGAATAAGGTTGTGTCTAATGCAGCAGTTCTCCATCTGGGCCAATTTTATCCTCTGGAGACATTTGGCAATGTTTGAAGACATTTTAGTTGTCACAACTGGGGAGGGCATATGCTGCTGGCCTCTAGTGGATAGAGGATGGGGTGCTGCTAAATATCCAACAATGAACATCTAACAATGACGAAGACATCCTCCCCTTCCACCCCCCAACCAAGACTTATGCAGCTCCAAATGTCTCTAGGGCCGAGGTTGAGAAGTCCTGGTTTAAAGTAATAATTGCTGGGAACTGTTGCTATCTGTCTACCAGCTACCAGTTCCAGTGGTAGGATAATGTCCGGGAAATAGAGTTGCTTCTATCTTTACAATCAACCTGGGAGAACAGAGCTTTGCCCTTGATAGGTTCATAGAGTTTTCAAAAGCAAAATAATTTTTTAAAATGACAAAAGTATTATTTACTTATGTAAAAAAAGAAAAACCCAGAAAAGTATAAAAGAGAAAATAACACTTAAAAAAAAAAAAAAACAAACAAACACTACCCAGGGCGCCTGGGTGGCTTAGTTGGTTAAGTGTCCGACTTTGGGTCAGGTCATGATTTCTTGGTTCGTTCAGTTTGAGCCCTGCGTTGGGCTCTGTGCTGACAGCTCAGAGCCTGGAGCCTGCTTCGGATTCTGTGTCTCCTTCTCTCTCTGCCTCTCCCCTGCTCTCTCTCTCTTTAAAAAAATAAACATTAATTTAAAAAAGTAAAAAAAAAATACCACTGCCCAAATAAAACCACTGATGTAATTTTCATTGATAACTCCTTGTACTTTTGCTCTGGATAATAATAAAGATGCGATGTTTTTACTTTACATACTTTTGATTCTGTCATATAGTGTTTTATGAACTGTTTTCTGTCCTTAAAAATAGATGGTAAACATCATCCCATGATCATTCCTTGTCAAAGTCTCCCTGCATTGAGTTTGGCTCTGGTGCTGGGGAACGTTGGACAGACCCCCTCCCCTCTCCTCAGTAATTCGTGAAGCACATGCTATGGGGGATGGGGGTGGGGGTCAGTACCTAGAAGAGAAGCTTAGTGTTTGAATGGGGAGGACAAGTGGCTGAGGATGAATCCGTGAATCCTGCCCTGGTTCGAGCTTAGATAGAGTGTGGCTTACCTGGCCTGAGCCCGCTCCTGAGCCTCAGTGCAAAGGACATGCCACTGAGGATAGTCCTCTGGACAGAGAGTGCTCAGGCCACCCCGGTGATTCAGTGCTGGACCGGGACCAGGCTGCAAAACTCAGCGGATGCTGTTTCATAGGCAGGCTCCGTGACTCGCAGTAAGAGAAATGTGATCAGCCTCACGGTTTGGAAGTATTAAAAGCAGGGCAAAGAAGCGAATCATTTAAAAACTCTTGCTGGCATAGCCTTGGTTTTTCTTGTAAGTTTACTCTGTCCCAGGCCAAGTTTTCTCTGCCTGGTCAGAAACAGCTTTGATTCCTTCTCCCCTCTTGATTATGGAATTCTCACAATTAATCTCATTCTCCTGACCTCTGATTCTGAATGCAGCTCAGACACAGGAAGGATATGGATACCTTTCCCTCAGTTCTTGAATGTTCCTCTTCTGTTATCACTCTATCTGTTTGTAATGGAATTCATGATGGCCTCCCTCTATTGAATGGTGAAGTTCTGGCCTTTGTGCTGGAATGCTTCATACCTATCACCAATCCTCACAAGCCTTCAAGTCAACCCCAAAGCAATTACCAAGGGGGAGTTCCCAAAATGCCCTGAGCACTGGTGGTGTCATCCATCTGCCACCATCTGTCATTCGAGAGTACAGCCTTGAAGGCTGTATTCATCACTAAAAGATGAGTGATTTTACTTAGAGGTCATGGTTGCAGCCTAGCCCAAAGTCTCTCAGTTCATGGCCCTCAAGTGTGGTTTCCTCCTTGAAAACAGCCTCCCCCTCCCTCTCCTTCCACACCCCCAAGTGGCTGTCCCTCACCTTGGGCCTGTCCACTTCCTCCTCAGGCAGACAGCTGCCATCCCAGCAGAGGTGCCCAGGCCCACAGGGCGTTCCATCAGCCCATGGCAGGCTGCCGTTCTTCGTGTGGCAAAGGGGCTCAGCACCATCCATGTGGCACCACAGCTGGGCGCAGATGTCCTGCGCAGAGGTGTTGGGGCAGTGGCGGAAACCCAGCCCAAAGATCTGCTTGCACTGTTGGTCCAGCTCATACAGGGCCCTGCGGCCTGGGAGGTCTGTCGGGAGGGGCAGGGCTGAGGTGGGAGCATCCAGGAGACAGTCTCCTGAGAAATGGAGGAAAGCAGAAGAACAAGAATGAGAAGCAGGAGTTTTCCGCTCTCAGCTCTCCGTACCCTCCCACATTACACTCCCACATTATTGCTGGGGTTGAAGGCCCAGCCATCGTAGTTTATTTGACAAGCTAAAAACTGTCAACACTCAATCATCTATATGAGCCTATCCCATTTTTGACTATCAGTAGTAAACATTTTACTAGGATTGAATTTTTTTTGTTGTCATCCAGAACATCTTGAATACATTCAGTGTTCACCTAGGGAAGGCCAGCTAGCTGACATACTAATTTACATCGCATATAATTGGGGATGTAAATGTGCTCTCAAAAACCATGGCATGCAAAATAAAGTCAAAGGATTGGTGTTTGGATAATGTACTATTTTTGTATCGTAGGTGTCCCTATCTTCTTCAATGAGAACAACCACAAATAAATTATGTTTTCAGTGCTTTGCCCAATAAGTCAAACTGTTTCGACCAGGCCACCCCTCTCCCCCATCCCCCTTGCCCTTGCTCTCACACCACTCGTTCCCTGCCTCTTTGCCATTTCTAAGCTGCCGCATCATCTATGTCTCCAGTCCGGATGCTCTATTCTCTCCTCTGTACTACATTCTTCCATCCCTTCGAGCTCTGTTCAAGCCCACCTCTTCCAGGTAAACCTTCTCAGACTAATTCTACCTGCTCTGTGACTAATCATCTAAATTAGCCCAGCACACTGGTCGCTAGAAGATAGGGCAAGGAAGAGCATGCCTTGTGAGGATGGTTAGCCTGCTATAGCACGGGAGGTTGGGTGAGGAACACATCTCTGGTGTCTTCTATCCTAAACGTCTCTGATGCTTTGTGAAGGAGCTCAGCCAGAAACAGCGCAGGTGCCAACGGCAATCTAGCAATCCAGGAGGTGGGCTGGGCAGACCTCAACCACCAGCAGCTGGCCAGAAAGAAGCAGGGAGAAGCTGGAGGGACACCTACCGTGCCCGCCGTCCAGGAGCTCCGTGAGGTACATGGCACTGCAGGGAGACCAGGGCAGTGTCTTGTTTAGGTGGACGAAGAGGGGTGCCATCATGTGGTGTTTGCCCATGGGCCCAAAGAGCCGTGCACAGGGCTTGGAGTCGTCGTGGGGCATGCTGAGGACGTGCCCTGAGGTAAAGAGAGACCTGAAGTCCACCCTAACTGGCCTCCACTGCCCTCCACTCCGCCCTGCCCCTCCCTGAGGGCTCCTCACAAGGCCCAGCACCAACCCACCCCCCTCTTGTAAGACAGTTACCCTCTGCTGACAGAAGAAGGCATCTCAAGGGCTAACCAGTCACCGGCTCCTCATGGGAACAGCCATGCCCCTGTTCCTTAAAGATTTTTGTTTCAGGCTTCACTCTGGGCTTTTCTCTCTCGGGAAGCTTTCTCAGAATACTGAGGAACATTGATTTCCCTTTGTTTTCTGCCTCAGCCTGTCCTAAATTCACATGCACCTCAATGATTTGCTTGCTTATGCAGTGCCAATGGATCTTCCCAGAGTTCTTACCACTTAGCTCTGGCAAAGCATCGCAACTCGACCTGAGCATTTGTTTCATTTGGCATTTTGCTGGTGACCTCTGCTGATGGTCCAAGACCCTATTTTAATATTATGGCCTCATGCTCAGGGTGGCAATGGAGAAAGCACAGTACCTATTTGCATATAATCAGTCTGTCCTAATTCTGGGTAGAACCTGGCCGTGTGTGAGATCTGCACTCCTTAGACCCTGGGCTGGCCTGGATTTGGAAGAGGCAGATCCCTCTGACACAGTACAGTAGACGTGGCATGGCAAGTCTTACCTAGCTCGTGGGCCAGAGTGTAGGCTGCCTGGAGCCCCTCATCCTCGATCACGGAGCAGCTCTTGTTAGGGTCACAGATTGTGCCAATGTCCGCCACACCCAGGGTGTCACACATCCCTTCCTTCCCACAAAAGTTCTGCTTGGCAGAGAGAGAGAGGGCATGAGAACAGACATTGAACAGAACATCTTCCTGTTTCTGCTCTTCCTTAGTTGAAGGAAAAATTTTAAGCCAAAGGCCCTGTTTCTTCACAAAGGCCACTCGTGTGAGGAAACCCATTTCTTTTTCTGTGTTGGTGTGTCCTGGGGCCAGCTTGTTTTGGAAGGCAGGGTAGCACAGGGGTTATGAGTACTGACCTGCAGCAAGACTGTGTAGGCTTGACTATGAGTGTTACCACTGTGTGGCCGATCTGTGCCTCAGTTTCCTCAGTTGTGAAATGGGGCTTTGTGGGGCTGCTGTGAGGACTGAAGACATCAAGAGCGCCTGATACATGTTATTAGAGTCTTCAGCCTTTGGGAAGCTCTGTTTCAATTTACCAGATAGGAGGGCAGGCCTGCCTCCTGGTTTGGAGGTTACCAAATCTCCGGTTAGCTGCCTCTGTGTTTAACAACCACTGCAGATGGCTCTCCTCTCTTCGTTCCAACTCCCGATCTCTTACTGGGCAGTGTGAGCACATTTCCTCTTGTTATGACCTCAGCAGACAGCTGGTCACAAACTTTTGGAAAAGGGCCCTTGCAAGATTCCTGTCCTTCCCCTGCAAATACCTCACACTTGTCCTCATGACCTCCCCCTCGTCGTTGTTCGGCACATGAGGCTCCTGGCGTCCAGCTGGGGCCAGCAGGGAGACATTTCCCATGTTTGGGCAGGCCTTAGTGGCCCTCTCTTTTGATCCGCCCATCCCGCCTCCCTTCCTCTCTGGGGTTTCTGGAGCCAGCCCACAAACCTGTCTGGTGAGCAGAATGGCTGTGTCAAAGTGTTCTGGGTGCCGGTCGCTGGGCTGGTTGAAACGTCGCTGCCAGTTGCAGAAGTTACGCAGGGTAAGGCCACCGTTGTCAGACACTTCTGGGCCCCACTTTTCATCTTCCACGATCAGCACTTTTACCACCATCAGGTTGATGGAGTTTCTAATGCTGGGGTGCTTGTAGATTCGGGCTGCCACAGACATTAGTGTCAGGACATGGTTCTGTTGGGAAGAAGGGGGCAGGTCGAGGGGAGGGTTACATCTCCTGGCCTGTTGCCTGCCCACTGCCACCACCCCTTGATATGCGTCCTGTGTGCCAGGCTCTGTGCTGAGCGCTGGATTTGCGGCATGTTGCTGAAGACTCACAGAACCCCTGAGGCCCTGGCGTTATATTCCTTCATTTTACCTGTAAGAAAATTGAGGCTCAGTAACTGACCCAGAACACAAAGCTAATGAGTATACTGCCAGCATTTGAACCCAGATGGCCTGGTTCCAAAACTTGTGCATTTAACATCTTGACCAGCCGCAGGTGACTCCGTAAATCTAAAGTTTAAATGCAATAAAATTAAAGTTACAGTTCCTCTGTCACACTGGCTACAGTTCAAGCACATCAGTAGCCATCTATGGCTCAAGGCTTCTGTATTAAACTCAGCAGACAGAACATTTCCATCATCACAGAAAGTCCTATTGGACCGCACTGATTATTCTACCTTAACGTTGACATCAACCGCCTCTGTGCCAGCCACCCCCATCCCCTCTCTGTTCTCAGCCCAGAAGCAATTGTTTGAGTGTTCGAGGTTAGTAGAATATGCCCCCTTAGAATCTAGTTGAGCATTTTCCTGGTGCCTATTGGGTAACTTCTACTCTTCAGGATGGGCACTGTTAGCCCGCAGATTGCTCCGATAATCACTACTAACAGTAGCCAGCCTGCACCAGTCACCAGACCCACACCTTACTCGATGCTCATGCTAACTCTGTGCGGTAGACGCTGTCACCCCCATTTTACGAATTAGGGAGTAGAGGTTCACACAAGTCAAACAAGCTGCCTAAGGTCACACAGCTCTTAAAGCTGGGACACCAGCCCAAGCACGTCTGTCTCTGAGGTCTACACCCTTTGCGTTAAGTTTCCCAGTGCTTGACTGCTGGTTTCTAGACAATCCCAGAAGGTCTATTCCCTTCTGCCAGGGCCTTGAGAGAAGTCAGTGGACCTAATGAAACCCAGGCGCTTAGGATCACACCTGCCTCCAGTTCTGCCCAGGCCAGCTGAAGGAGTCCACATCATTGCTTGGCCTCTGTCCTACCCCTGGGTTGTTCCCAAGGCTTTGGAAGCAGCCAGATGGAGCTCACTCTCCTGCTTCAGGGACTTCTAGAAGTGAGTCCTCTTGGACTATTGTGCAGAAGAAAAGGGGGAAAAGGCACGCGTGCTTTCAGCCAGGAGTGTGGCCAGCTGAGCCTGCCATTCATGTGCCCTGCTCCCTGTTTCCTAGGGCACTGTCTCCCATAAGCCTTTCTTTTTTTCTTTCCTGTGGTCTGGAAGGTAGGAGTGGAAGGAGGGGAGAGGAGGGTGAAAGGCTAAAGAGGGACAGAGGTGAAAGGCTCTGTCGGTTGAGGCCATGTGTGGGAGTTCCAGACGAATCCCATTATTTGTGAATGGGATCTGTCTGTTCACCTCGCAGGCAACGAGCCAGGTATTTTGTAAGCCCTACAAACAGGGGTTGGCAGGTTCCTTAGCGTGTCAAGCACTCCAGCTATGTTTAGGCTGATGTAAACATCTTATCAGCAAAGCTGAAACTTGGCACTTGCTCCTGGAGCTGGATTCCTGAGGGAAAAAAAGCAATCACATCATTATGCAACTGGGGGTGAGGGCTGAGGAATGGGAGCTCGCTGAGGCTGCTTCCTGGCCAGGCTTCCCTGTTTCCAGGGGGCAGAGTCTCCTGCGCTCTTGCCCTAGGAAGGGTCAAATCTGATGGGCCAGGGACCAAGCCCTAGGGTTTCTTCAGAGGCAACCTGCAACTCTCTTTACAAGATTTCTTCCTTTTGAGTCCCAATTTCACAATCTCAAAATTGGGGAGATGATGTCTTACAAAAAAGGCGTTAACACAAGATGCCAGCTGCTCAGCATTGGTCCCGGAAGGTTTGAGGTTTAAGAAGGATCTGTGTTCCCAAGCTGACCAGATCAGACTGGGGCTCTCGGGCAATGCAGCTGAGTGGGGACCATGCACCAGCCATGTCCCCAGGGAAAACCAAAGGCACAGGGGTGTACATTTGTGTACAAAGGAGGGGCTGAGGCATCAGCGGAGGCTTCCCGAAACTAAGATTTTCAGGGAGTCTCCTCCTTTGCAGTTCAGGGAGCTCACAGCATCTTCTCCAGATACTAAATAACTGTAGGGCTGAGCAGGCTTGAGAGCCATTTTTTTTTTTTTTTTTCAAGGCAGTGGATTAGACTTGAGAGCATTTGGATGTCCTTCTGGTTGCTATTTCAGAAGATAATTTCCATTGCTACAAATTCTTATAGAGAGCTACAAGAACTATGTGGTTCAGTGTGTCTGTTAAAATCCCAAATCCTGGTCCTCCCCTTCTCTCTTGTCTTGCTGAGCTTCTGGAGATGGGAGGCACTGCTATCCCCGCTGCTAGCTCCTCTAAGAAACTATGGCAGGAAAGCCTGACGTTTGCAGTGCCTCTTGCAGTTACCTAGGGGCAAGGACCTGGGGAGGTGGGGTTGGCTGTCAGTCTGTGAGCCTCCGATTCTCAGTCGGTACCCTAGGCAAAAGGCTAGACCCGACTTACAGTCCCACAGAGAGAGGGCTCAGGAGCCAGTGAAGGAGAAGGTCAGACGGCTCACTCCACCACCTGGTGTCCATATATACCTCTCTGTGCACCACACAAGTGTGGGCTACTTGCTAAAGAATGTGAACAAGATGGTGCCCCTGGTGGTGTGGGGGCCCCAGCACAGCAGATGACCTCCAGCAACCATGTCAGGTAAGTGGGAGCCCATGACCAGCCTGGCCAGGGCTGGTCCAACATCCCTGCTCTTGAGTGACCTGGGGACCTCATGCCCTTAATTCTCACTGGGAAAAGGCGGGGCATTTTCTAGGGAGTCTCCTCCACTAGTGCCCCTAGGACCTGAAAAAGAGAAAGAAATGCCCGAGCCAGCTAGGCTGAGACATAGCACTCTGATTCTTAGCAATACAAACAAGGAGATTCCTCCCCCAGAGCTCCCATGGCAGCCAAAGCCAAGTGCAGTGGGAGTCCAGGAGAAGGCTGGGCCTGGGCCAAATGCATTTCCAGCGGCTTCTTCTGCTCTGTCATCCTTATGCTTGGCTCACTTGCTCTTCACACTGTGGGTCCCACCGCTTCCTTGCTGCACACCTGGGAGAGGCAAGGCAGGGGAGCACGGCAACATGGAAACACTCTGAGCTCAGCAACCAGTGCCATACTTTTCCTACTGGGGGTCTCCCTAGGGCCCCAGACTGCCGAGGAGGTGGGGGAGAGGCCAAAGAGAGTAAAGAAGCAATTGGAGAAGAGAGAGGGTCCTGCACTGATGTCCTTCATCGCTCCTCATTCTCAAAGCAGCAAGGGGCGGGGCACCTGGGTGGCTCAGTCAGTTAAGCTTCCCACTTCGGCTCAGGTCATGATTTGCAGTTTGTGAGTTAGAGCCCTGTGTTCGGCTCTGTGCTGACAGCTCAGAGCCTGGAACCTGTTTCCGATTCTGTGTCTCACTCTCTCTGCTCCCCTCCCCACTAGTGCTCTCTCTCTCTCTCTCTGTCTCTCGAAAATAAATAAAACATTAAAAAAACCAGCAAGGGGCAATGTCCCTCTCCAAAGGTATACGCACTTACTGGAACCACAGTGAGTCAAGCTTAAACACTCTGAGCTGAGCAAGCTGGAAAGGAAGGCCTCCCTGCTGCGTGGGACAGCGGAGCCAACACAGCAGTGGGCTGGCTATGAAGGTGTATGACCACACTACCTTCCTCCTCTGACAAATGTCATCACCGAAGGCAACTCTGGTATTAATTCCTCTTTGTTGAGCACCTACTATGTGCTGGGCACTGGGTCAGGTGCTCTCTATATTGTCTTGTATCCTCAAGACAATGCTAGGACATTGGTATAACCGTTCCTATTTTGCTGGCGAAGAAATCGAGGCCCAGAGAAATTGGTAGCTTACTCAAGGACACTCAGTCATTTTGATTATCCTTCGAAGCATATGCTTTTACTCACCACACTGCTGCCTATCCTGGATGCTGCAAGGACAGCGACAGCATAGCCAAAACAAACCCAGTTCAAGCCAGCAAGCAAGCTTACCCCTGGCATTGTCTACACCTGGGGAGGCAGAAGTGGCAAATCAAAGACCTTTGAATATCAAGGCATTTTCTTTGGGAAAAACTGTGTATTGTTGATCATGCTTGGAAGAGATTCCTCTTGGAAGGAGAACATAATTCACCTGGGACGTAACACTTGTCTTTCCCCCATCCTCATGGGGGATATAGAGCCAGTGGGGGTGTGTGTCTGCTTCTGTTTTTATCCAAACCAGGACACTTTTGAGAGTGAAGATGATGCTACTAATAATTATGCCAGAACAGGCCTAAGTGGGGATTGTGCTGGACACACTGGGATATGTGGGCTTGTGGGAGACATTTTCCCAGAGGATATGGGTAAAGGGGAGATGGAATCGCTAGGACTTAACCCTTTCCTGAAATCCCTTGCTGGTAGCCTGACATCTTGGGAGTCCTCTGGTCTTCTCTGGGGATGATGATTACCACTTCTAGGACTCTCCCTGCTAAGCAAAGAATTCAGAGCTCAGCTGGCAGCTGATCCACCGGCAGGATGGATTTCTCAGACTGAGTGTGGGGCACGGCTCAGCCTGCCCCTCACTGCATTCCTGCTCCAGGTTCCTCCAGGGAACAATCAGCAGCAGCCGGATGCAGACAGAGTTAATGGCCTCTTCCGAGGTGGTCCCTGCTTTCAGAAAGCCCCCTTTGTCTGAGCTCATTAACTCTGAAACCAGATAAGAAGGTGGGAGGTGGAGGGGGGCGCCCTTCTGTCAAGGGATTAAGTGAACTCAAGTGTACAGAGTTCTGGAAAACTTCATTGTCGCTTAACAGTGTGACCAGCTTCTAGCATGGCTAATTCTTTCCCTTGGCCTTGAGGTGGTTTCTTCCCAGGATAGGGCCTCCCACTTTGGCTGGGCATCTTTGGACTGCTGGATTCAATGACCTATTCCCACAATATGGACAAGTGTAGGGCCACAGAGCCACACACCCTTCTCATGCTAACGCAACCTCATGGCACAAGAGAAAAAGAGCACTGCACTCAGGTTCAGGACACTTGGATTGTGACCCAGACCTGCTGCTTACTAGTTGTGTGACCTTGAGAAAGTCACAGATTCCCTGTGAGCTGAACCTTTTTCCTCTGCCTCCCTCACAGGTATTTCCGCTGAGGTGATGCATACAAACCATTATGCAAATTGAACGCACTCAGAGCATGGTTTCCCCACATAGTGCTGAATTTTCTAGAAGACTCATCATGAAAAGTGGCCTCACTGATGCTTACATTAGCACTGATGACCTAGTCTAGGTGTCTGGCCTCACAGATGAGGAAATGCAAGCCCTCAAGGGGGTAAAATTCCTTCATCCTTACCTTACACCACTGCCTGCTAAGATACCCCAAAGTGCCTTCCATCTGTGCAAATGAAGTCTCTAGGAGATGCCTCGGAGAGTTACTTATAAAGAACTGGATTCTATTTTGGGGATATGGATCTGGGCAGGCAAGGTCTTGGGGAACTAGAACATGACATTCATTCTTGTCTTAGCTGAACTCATGGACATGTTTAGGAAGTCCAGGGGATTGAGCTGAGAAGTTCAAGTCTATCCTGTGGCATCTCCACAGCTGGTAAGCAGTCAAAGCAGAGGGGTCAGTGGGAGGTCACAGAAGCAGCTGTGCCTCAGCCCCTGCCCCACCCCAGCGTGGTGACAGCAGGCAGGGGTGTAAGTGGGCTGTGACATAATGAGACCAAAAGGGAGGTGATGGAGTTGGTACAGCTGAGACAGGACTTTTCCTTCAGGTATAAGACCTGGAAGCAGATCCCCTAGGGAGAGGCCCTCAGCCTATACAGGTGCCTGATGCCTATTCTGATATGCTTTTCTGACCCATGGAGGCTGGCTGGGTGCAAGGTGTGTGTCTGTGGGTGGTCCAGAAACAGCATATGGGGAGGGAGAGGGGATGGGACAAGCATGTACTGGGTCATCCGGTCAGAAATCTGTAAGGGTAGAAGTGTTCCTAGGTGCCTCTGTGAAGAGAACCCGAGGCAGACCCAGCCCAGCCCAGCCAAGTATATCCTTGAGGTAAGTACTCAGTATCTTAAGTTACTAGGTGATGGGCTGAGTGAGATGGTAGGAAGACAGTAGGGAAAACATGTTGGCTCTGAAGCCTGAAAAGTAATTACTTTCTCTGATGCTTCCTTGTGCTCTTGTCTTTCCTACCTCCTGGTTCTCAGACAGATGTCAGAAACTGGTCCATGCATGGGGAGTGGCTCAGCACCTCAGCTCAGGGTTTGCAATGATTGTACTTTCAGCCTTTCTCTGGTAGAGCTCCCTGATAGCCAGGTGTGGTGGCCCTAACCTGTGATGGGAGAAGCCCCATTAACCACCCTTTTGAGGACTTGCTTGAGGAAAGGAGTCAGGGGAGTTGGCTGGTGCCTCCTTTTGCTTTCAGGGTGGGCAGGGAAGCAGATATGCAGTCATCATAGACCTAAAGCCCATTGGAAAGACCACACCGATGGCTCAAAGCTGCCTTACCAGCACGTGGCAGAAGTGAATACTACAACAGTGTGCAAAGGAGCCTGCTTCTACAGTAACCAGAGAAGCAGCCACATGGGCCACTCACCCCTATCTCTTCCCATCCTTCCATCTAGATGCATTTCCCCGTGATTGCAGAGTGAGAAAGATGGGGTGCATCATCTAGACTGTTCGGCACAGGTGATGCTGAAGCACTCGGTGCCCCCAACAGTTGGGCATGGGCTGATCCTAGAATAGGATCACTGGCCAAGATTGCCATTACTGAAAAAGTATCAACTAAACTGCGGCAGTGGCCAGGATCCCTGCTGCAGGGATCTATGACCGCTGGGAGGGCAGGTCTTCTCTACCTAGCACGCCCCTGGTTTTGTGCTCCTCAGGGGAAGAGAAAGTACGGCTCTCTCCTGGAACCCTTGTACTTCACCTGGTGCTTGGGGGAGGTGTTGGGACACAGGGTGACACAGATACCTCTTGCTGAGTCTGCACCACCTCTGAATCTAGTTAGACGTGGTCTGGCTACAGGAGCTGTCCCCTGAACTCCATGTTCCTGCCCAGCCAAGCTCAGTAGAGAGCTGTGTCTGGGCTGGGAGCAGCTGGGGTGGACCAAGGAGAGTTCTGGCTCCACAAGGAGCGTTCACTGAAAGAGTTCATATCCCCACTATTTTCTCCCCTCCCTTTTCCACTGAAGCTTCAGTCTCCCAGGCTAACCCCCAGGCAGAAATTCTGTTCCCCTCCCTTCTTGTGCTGATGCTGGCACTGCGAAGTTCTGCCCGGGGCTGAGTGCCAGGTTGGCAAGGTAGTCCACGCCCCTTGATCAGAACCAGCTGGGTACACAGAAGTTGGGCAGCCCCCTTCCAGGTTCAACTCCCTCCAAACAATGTCTTTTACTTATGGCAACCTCAGTTCTGTACACGAAGGGAATGAAACAGCCACATCTTTCCAACCCAGCTGACTTTCCTTGGGAACCTGTCAGGTCTGGAGCCAGTAGAGGGCTGGGAAATGGAGGGTGGGGTGGATGCTCTTCCAAAATGTCCAATTTTCATCTCTGTTGGGAGAGGCAGGTGCCTGGGTTGGGGGTGGGGGAGCTGTTGTGCTTGAAAACCCACTTTTAGTTCAGTTTGCCAAGTGCTGAAGGAGATTCAGGATGCGAGGGGTGAAGGTGAGTAGCAGAGGAGGAGGCGCCAGGACCTCCACTCTAAATTAGAAAGGACGGGGGGTGGGCGAGGGCAGCAGGTAGCCCAGGGGTCAGAGGCTAAGAAAAGAGTTCCTGCACCTTCTCAGAAAGGAAAGAACCTTGTTTGGGGTCGGTCTTGGAAGGATGAGGGATGTGAAGGGTTATCTCAGAGGAACTGGAAAGGGAAGATTTTGGAGGCTCTAGGAGGTGACTGGGGGCCTCCAGGCAAAGCGAATCCTACCTGCAGGTCGGCTCCATAGAAGGCAGCCATGGACGCATCGGCCACCAGCAGCGTTTCCACGAAGCGAGCCTCAGACACAAAACGCTTGGTCCGACTCGTGGCCCCCAGGGGTGGTGGCTGCTCGCTGGCGCCTTCTGCATCCTCTTTGCCCTCCTCCTCCTCCTCCTCCTCCGTTTCCTCCTCCTCCTC